GGGGGGGCGGCTTGTTTTACAACGTCGTTGCCAAGCGACGAAAACCCATAGGGAGGGGGGGGGTCTTTCCAGCGAGGAGGGCTAGACTCACCCTCAAGGGACCGATACCTTGTTGCTGCGGCGCACNACCCTCAAGGGACCGATACCTTGTTGCTGCGGCGCACCCGCCGCGAGGCGTGCGTAGTGGTGGAGTTGGGTCGGCACTGGTGCGTCAGGTACAAAGGTGCAGATGCGCGGGCCTCCAGGCCGTCGGTGTAGGCCGCAATGCCCATCTCATCTTTGTGCGCGGAGGCAGACGTCATCAGAAAGGTGGACGGGCACCATGTACACGGCCCTAGGTTTGCTAGAGGAAGCTATACTGTCTCAGTAACCTGGTTTTGCCATCAAAGGAGGAAGGGGCAAATGGTGACGAGCTGATGGGGATGGTTGACCCTTCGGCGCGAGAATCTTCCGACCGAGAACCATAAGCGCGACGAGGGAGAAAGCGAGGAACTGACCGGGGAGGACAGCAACGAGAGCGTGTCCGAAGCGGAGCGGGTCGTTTGGTCGTGCTACGACTGGCCACAGCGGCACCGGAGCAGCGGCACCGGAGCAGCGGCACCGGAGCAGCAGCGGAACCGGAGCAGGCGGACGGCATCGAACCGTGGCGCACGGACAAACATCTCTTGTCAATTATTTTTCCGTTTTTTTTCCTGAATACAGGTGTTCGGTGTGTGTGATGACGTCACTGGTTTTGTAGAGAGACGCGGCAGAGATGGCGCGGATAACCCGGGTGCCGTAATTGTGTACCTGCATCGTGGAAGACCCCTTCAATGTGGAACGATTCCTAGTCAGTGTCGATGTTTACACTGCTGTGCCTAACACAGATGATCTGGATAGATTCGGGTGATTGTCAATTGCAATGATGGCTTTGGTTGGGCGTTCTTCTTCATTGTATGTCCACGGGCTCATTCTGACAGCACTCCAGACAGCAGCTCCATGCCCCGAGCTTGTGTACCACGCATCATGGTGTTATTATTGTACAGACAGCACTTTAGACAGCAGTACGCTGTAGTCGAAAAACATTCATTTTGGTTAAATGCGGGAGAACCGGGGTGATGCTGTTGCTGTAGTCGATTTGTAGTGTGTGGGCGTGTACTTCAGTTGTGAGCACGCAAACGTGCTGCAGGGATTGCAGGTGTACCTCCTCGGGCTTGCGTGCCCTTTGCTTGCTAATAGTTTGTGTGTTCTTCAGATCTTCTGACGGCTCTAGCGTTTTTGTGACCACGGATCGAGTCCTTGATAGATTTTGGGATTAGCAACTGACACGAGTTAATGTGAAGAAAAACAACAAACAACAGAACACCACCAAACCGGAAAAACTGGAACCGCGACATTGCCATATATCCTAGCGACTATCCACCCTCGCCGCACGACACGTGTCCATTGTTGTTGTGTTCACATTAAAAACCATCCCGGTCTCTCTATCCAGTACCTCCTTCTGTCTCAATCTCTCCGTACTAATCCAGCACTTGACTCGGTCAATTTCCGTGGTCACAGGCTAACGTACCTAGAAAAGGTATACCAAAATAAAATGGACCCCAAGGGTCAGCAGAGCGATAAAATACAAGAAAACAAAATATAATCAGAAACAAATAAAATAAAATAAAATAAATAATTAGACTAGTGGAACGGCCGCACCACCAGCCTGGGGGGGTAGCCTCCCACTACATGGAGGCAGGTCGACGGCCAAAGGAAGGGGCGGGGGTACGTGCCAGTAAAAAACAAAACAAAAGACAAAATAAAAAAGAATAAAGCAAAGACGAGGACACAAACAAACTCGCACAGAGACAGGGATATCCCTAGAGACAGTCTGAACGCGACAGCAAACGGGGGAGAGGGCAACAGAAAAATTAGTCGTTGAAATTCGACCGCAACATGTCACGTCACGCGGTCGGTCTCTTCTCGCTTGCTTTCTTCCCGCCGCGCCGTTTCCTTCCGCCCCCCCTACCGCCCCGTTGATTGGTGCCGTATCTAGACTATTTTTGGGCCCGCTGTCTCCTCGTTTGATGGCTCGTTGTCGGCTGGCCTCCTCCTTGCCCTTGTGCCAAGAGGCCATGAACCTCTCAGCTCCCTGTAGCACCCCCGCGTGCCACGGTACCCCCCCCTCCACCTTCGCCGCCTCACTCCAGACTAACTTCGGGACTCCGAAGACGCTCGGCTTGTCGGTCGTGGAGCCGTACCTGGCTTCGAACATCTTCATGTCGTCCTTCAGGCATGTCAGCCAGTTCTGCTCCGGGTTTCCCTGGCCCGGGTCCTCCCCTCCCACCAACTCGCCGAACATCAGCCGTTTCGGAAGCCGCCCGTCCGGCTGTCTTGCCACGGCCCCCGCAAAGAGCAGGCGCCGTTGACGGACAGTGGCCTCCACGCTCTGGCAGCCGACCCTCTTTAGCGCCTGGGCGTATGACAGCTGCCGGTAGGTGCCTCGTTTGCGCCGGTAGCCGATGACTCGCAGGAGTAGCCGGTGGTGTGTCGTCTGCAGCATTCCGTAGTGGTTGCGGCGTGGGGACCATGTCATGCAGCCGTATAGCAGTGCCTCCACTGCCTCCGCCTGGAGCAGGCGGGCTTTGAGGCGAAACGGTGCTCCCGGTCGGTCGAAGAGCTCCGTGGCGTATCGCCTAATGCACGCCCACGCTGCTTTGCTCCTGTGGTTGATCTCTCGGGTGAGGTCGCCCTGCTCGTTGATGAGGCCGCCCAGGTATCGGAACTCGGTCGTCTGTGCGTACCTTTGCCCCGCTGCTTCGATGGTCAGCGGCGGCGGTGGCGTCGGCGGCGGTCGCTGTTTCTCCTTCACCCGCATCACCAATGTCTCCGTCTTCCTCTCCGACACCGTCAGCCCGAACTCCCGGAACACCTCCACGATAATGGTCATCATCCTCGCCAGGCCGTCGGCGGACTTCGACACAATGCCGGCATCGTCGGCATACCTGTATCATCCCCCACACCGCCCTCCGAACTCGGTCCAGCAATGTCCATGCATACACATACATACATACATACGATGATGGCCACTTGGCCATCGGGTGTGCGCTCAAGACATGGCCGTGCTGTAACCGCCCCAAGCACTAGTCCATGTCCACAGCTTGAAAGCAGCTCGGGACGATCCACGATCCATGATCCGACGACGGCGGGTAAGTGTTCCTTCGCCTTCATCCGCGATCCGGGGCGATCTTTCATTCCACTGCGGTGCACCAACATGGCATCCACCTCACCGCAAGCCCAACCTACGTGTCTGGTGTGTGGTCACTTGTCTGACGACATGCCAGTGTGGTGACGGTCTCAAACAACAAGCCCTTAGCGACGGCACCAGCAGAGATAGAGGGGTGGACGGAACCACGGATCGGGTGGATCTAACGGGAAAACGTGTTATTCTACTTGNGTGGTCACTTGTCTGACGACATGCCAGTGTGGTGACGGTCTCAAACAACAAGCCCTTAGCGACGGCACCAGCAGAGATAGAGGGGTGGACGGAACCACGGATCGGGTGGATCTAACGGGAAAACG